TCTAGCATACAAGTTGTGACTAGGGCTAAGACATTGGGATCCCTGTCTCTGTCTGAGCTTGAGGTTCTCCAGCAAGGTCAGTTCAGCACCCTGGGTATCAGCATGGGCTGTTCCCCCATCACCTCACTCTATGGCCTATATGCCACCTCTTTTCCTGCATTTGTGGAAGGGGGGTACTGCGTGGGATGATCAGATGGAATGTAGGGTCCTGAGGCTCTGGGTCATGTGGTGGGGCCGTCCACGCCTCTCCCCCTCCGTGTCCTCTGACCTTTCTCAGTTTGGGTGGGATTCTTCATTCCCTCTTGCCATTTCCTTCACAGGGACTTCCTCTGCTCCACATCTGGAAATTCTCACTCTCCCTGTTTGTAAAAGAGTTACTTATGACCTGTGAAATCCAGTTCCTTCTCCCTTGATGATCATAAAGGATTAGTTTTCTTACCCTTCCAGGAGGCAAAAGGAAATATTTGCATGTCATTTTTTCTGAGGCAGCAAAATCATCACGTTTCCAAGTTAGGAAAGTCTGAATGTCACATTCAGCCACACACTGGAGACTCAAAACTGGGAGGCATGGCCAGCATCCTGAGCCAAGCCTGAGGTCAGAGTGCTAAGTCAGAGGATACACTTTGGGACACGTCTGAGTCCCGCATCAACAGTTCTGAAAGTCCTGGAAGAATATTCGGGGAGGAGGGATTCAAATGTGCTGAGACCCACGGAGCATTCACTCACTCACGGACCTGTTGCTAGAAGTGACCCGAAGTAACATCTGCGTGGGGTGCAGCTCACCTATATGTGAAGAAGAGAGAAAGGAAGGAGCTCAGCCTTGACAGTCACCCCAATGGATGGGAAGACCTGCGAAATGATGGCACAGACTGTGAAGGCAGCACCAAGAATGTTTTAGCCTGGGAATGCCTCATAATTTCTGGATAGAGATTTTAGAAGAATCTTTCTTTTGCTTCTGTCTTGATTTGAATATGCTCCCCAAAACTTAGTCCCCACCGTGACAGCGTAAAGAGGGTGGACAGTCCTATTATGGTCATTAAAAGGTGGGGCCTGGAGAAGGTGATTAGATGCTAGGACCACGCCCTAGTTAATGGATTGAAAATAGTGGTCAGGGGCGTGGTTCTGAGGGCTTTAAATGAAGAGTACATGACAGGTTAGTCTCTCTCTGCTCCAACATTTTCTGCCATGTGAGATCCCTGGGTCACTGTCACCCCCACCAAGACCCTCACCAGATGTGTTCCTTGAGCTATGGACTTCCCAGCCTCCAAAACTGTAAGCAATAAATTCCATTTTCCTACAAATTATGCAGTTCCATGTATTTTGTTATAAGCCTCAGAAATGGACGAATATAGCTTCTCCGCACCCCTTTCTTCTCTTTCCAGGAGGAGGTTACCAAATGACCCGTAGGTGATGACTGCTCTCTGCCCTCAGACATGTGACCATGTGGTACTGACCCCACTCCCAACCTGAGGACTGAGCCCTGGCTACAGGAAGCCCACCGGTGTGTGCTGTGCCCCAGCCACAGGGAAAGGTCTAGGAGGGACATGGTAGCCTTGCAGGACAAACAGAGCTCCCTGTCTGTCTCTGGCAGAGCCCTGAGAAGATGGTTTTGTCTTCCTGGACCTTAAGGGGAATTGCATTCTGACACCAAAAGCAAAGACTAGTTCCCAGGAAGACAGTGCTAGGAGGCAGAGAGACTAGATCTCCATGGTGTCACTTGGTTGTTGAATCAGTGACTTCTCAGTTGCTTGGGCCAATGCCTTCCCTTTCTCTTTCTT